CCAGAGACCGTACATACCGAACATACATAACATATACAGATTTACAGTTATACAGCGTCACATATTCAAACGGGATTATATGTCTTCTGCTGCACACACACGTGCAGGTGCATACTTGGCCACACGCAGCACTACGTACATATGTATGGTATGTAACGTACATCAAGGTACGTACGCGAGTGTGCGCAGGAAATAATGTCCGTGCACTTATACTACCGTACATGTGCGCAAGCAAAGTGCCCACCTCTACCCGTGTATGCAGCCCGTATATATATATATATATACATATACACAGAAATATATGTGGTTATATAGTTATATGACAACAGCACTATGACTATAGATACATGGAACGTATGTATTGCGTGCACGTGCGCATGCCTGTCCGTGCAGCAAGGGTTTCGGCACATGTACACTTGACCGCACGCCGTATGCCGTATGACACATGACACTGCAGGGGCATACGTGCACCCAACACAACCCAACCCCAAGGCCTGCGAAAAGGACGCGACAAATGTTGTATTAACTGTATTATACATCAACGGTGTCTCGCTCAGCACGGCATCATGAGACGCGAGTGTCAATCAACAAAGCGCATTCCGCATGGACCGCATGTCTGCATGGATGCCGCCTGGATTCCGAATTTACTCGCCTTAATTGCGAGCATGCAGTCAGCCCGAACGGCCAAACAGAGCTAAACTTCAAGGCTAGCAAAGACGACATGCCGTGACGTGCCGCATGCCACACACGCATCCACAGCCTCAGTTGCTGTGAGTTCGATTGGATGATGTGCAGTCTTGCGTGTGAAGTGCAAGGCAACGCAGCTTGAAAGTGCAATCCGCCCACAATGCCCTGGGATGTGCCGGATGTGATTCATCTGTCGTTCTTCTTCCTTCTCTCAGATCGCAGTCAACCATGCCGTCTCAAATGCAATGTGCAATCGGTCAGTCCAAGATAGCTCGCTGCTTGCTCAGTACTTGCTTCATGACCTCGCTTGCTCAACTGGCATCTAATCAGAATCTAATCCTCTTCAGACTGCGACCCCGAGACGTGTGTACAAGTGCATCATAGCGACGTTCTTGGCCGTTTGCCATGTCGCGGAGCAGCTGTCGGATCTCCGAACCGAGAAGCACTCCTTCCATTTAACAACAGAAGCCGGCAGCCGTCACAACTGACACCACGAGACCCTTTTACACCAGTAGAGCCAGTAGAGCCGTAGTAGAGCGACAGTGCTTGCCCGGTTGCAATGGAAGTTCGATAGCGTTGCGGAGCCGTAGAGCGACAGTGCTTATCATACCCGGCAACCAATGGAAGTTTCATAGCGTTGCGGTGTGAGGACACTACAGATACCGCCGCTACAATTCAATTTGCTACGGTTGACTTCACACGCGCCCTTCAGTCCGACATGCTCTAGGGTTCGACACAGTGCTTGTTTACTGGTGAAAAGCATATACGCTGGTATAATTTGGTCCTGGCTCTAGCTCTCTAACTTTGGTTTCTATAGAGGGCGCGTGGATCCAATTCGCAATCTCCAACAGCGAGCCAAGAAGGATAAAGGCAAAGGCATAAAGGTATAGGCGGGATGGGCCGGGATGGGATAGAGGTACCCAAGTGTACGAACCCAAGGCCGTAAGTTGTGGCGAAGCTGGAGTGCTAAGCCTTTCTACGCTTACATTATGTTTACTGTTTACATGTCACACATCACACATCGTCTAAGAGCATGACGCCGAGCCCCAGAATCAACCGCAGCATCTGATGCTCGACATCGGGCAAGTGTCTTCTCTTATAACTGATAACACAACCCATAGATCCAACAGCCAGTTCATCATCAGGTCAGGCTTGGATTAAATGAGCCACAAGGTGTACGCTGACTCTAGACCGACCCACTGTAAACCGATAAAGCCCTGAACTTATGAGACCTATACACACTTGCCTGAACAAGGAGGTCCAACTAGTCTCGCAGGGTGCAGAGCGGCATCGTCAATAACTACGAACCTATGAATCTATGAAATAGGTACCGTCTGATACCAGCACCTGAACCGAATTTCCGGCTGTCTCAGCAAATGAAGCGATGCATCGGCGACCGCATGCATAGTCATGCGCTCGCAAGGAGACCATACGCCTATCAATCACAAACCTAAAAGCCGCAAATCATAAACCTGAAAACGCCGAAAACCCTGAAGCCTGCACGCCTTTGTGAATCCTGCAACCCCAAACCCTAATACACTGAAGCCCCAAAACCTACTAAGAAATGTGAGACCAGTGAAACCGTACAACCCTGGTTGCAGCGGGTTTGCCTCGTTGTCCGGGAGCCTCCCTTCAATCCTGAAATCTCAAAAATATAGAACCTGGAACTCTGGAACTGTAACCCTGAGTGACTTAGTGACTTTTTATACTGAAACAACAGGATTCCTACTGGATGGAGCCGACTCCTCCAGCTAGTTCTCTAGTAAAAAGGGCCAAAACAGTGTTGAACCACAATAGGTTGTACTTCCAACCACTTGCAGCACCAGCGAAAAAAGCCTGGCAACTGCACCATGCCGTCATCCATCATGCGCTGATAGATTGTGTGCTCATGCTCATGCATCTCCTGGATCCACACATCTTTCGGCCCTGAAAAGACCTCGGCGGGAGGGCTAACGGCTAGCGGTTAGCGCAGGAAACGCTTGCAAGCATGCAGGCCCCACCAATATGTGACCCTCATGAAAATCGCAGTGCATCAGCTTCAAAATCCAACCCACTACGCTCCCTCTGCATGCGGTTATGATACCTTGTACACGGTCTGCTCCTTGCCATCTGGCATGGTCATGTTTTCAGCTCGAAGTCCGTCGTCTGCCGGCTCTTTGCCAGTCATCTTTTTGTAGGATGCTGCCGTGAAGATGATTACCTTCCCCGCGGGACTTGTGTCCACATGGATGTGCTTCTCGTGCATGACTTTCCTCACGTCTGCAACGGTTCGCCCATGAGCAAAACTCCGGCATCGACAGCGACAGACTATGAAACTTGACACCGTAACATGATGACATGATGGCATACCGCAAATGTCTCAATCTGCCTAGTGGCTGGTATGGCTCCGGTCTCCACCATCCAGGCAGCACCAAGAGCTTTGAATTTTTCAAGTGGATCAAGTGCGAGCGCAGGGATTGGAAGGTAGCGCGCAGGCTGGGGTCTGTCCTCATCTTTTCTGCGAGCTCCTGCCAAGCAGTCTTTACATCACGCTACGCAGCGATCGGCGATCGTATAGGGAATGGAATGTCTGCCTGTCTGTCTGTCTGTCTGTCTGTCTGTCTGTCTGTCTGTCTGTCTGTCTGTCTGTCTGTCTGTCTGTCTGTCTGTCTCTGTCAAGTATCACTGCATGTTGGCACGACCATGTCATATCGCATTTTCTACACCGCTTCCCCAGCCCTGCCTTGAATGTGCAGTCTGGGAAGCCCTTGAGGTGCACGATATGACAGTGCTCGCATTTGTACACCGTGACCATTCGCAGCAGGGAGCCGTCAACCAGACCGCTAGGACTGTCGGGACCCAGGAGGCAGGCTAGGCACATGTCCGAGCTCTGGCTGTTGTTGAAGACAAGCTCAAGATCATCTTCAATGCTGTCCAGCATCTGAAGGTCCCTGGCTTCAAGAGCCAGCACTTGTATGTAGATACAGACACGAAATGATATGATACTGACTAGAATTGCATCCCGGCAGGGTTTTCCCAGACAACTTCGCCCCCCCTCCCCACGCCGCACAACACAACACGAAGACCGGACCTTGCTTCAGCGGAGGCCGGCTCTGACATGGCCAATCGCCCCAATCGTCGCCGTCTTTGCAAGTCTGAGTTCAAGTTCTGAGAATCACAAAACCCGTGGCTGCCATGAGAAAGCAGCCTCTTGGTCAATCATTGTCATGGAATCACGCAATCATGCAGCACGCGACCTCTGGATACTGGATACAACCTGCCGACTCATTGCCTTTCTCAGCTGCAGGGGTACCGTACGGAGGATCTCAGGCTTCATGCTGAGTCCCTCGGGCTGGCCGGGAGCGATCATGTCCGCATGCCGAGTCCGGCCGAGCGCTAAATGCCTAAGTAGCCTAAGTCTTAAGTCTCAACTTCATGTTGCTGATCTGGCTCTGCACTGCCAGCTCGGCGGCCATCTCACACCCAAGATCTAAACATTTCCAAAATGCCGGCCTCACTCCAACCAGGCTATTGGGATGGAGCTGAGTGCGGCGACCATCCCCACCGCGTAGCAGTGGAAGTTAAATGAGTTTCCAGCCAAAGTGCTTTTGGCCTGTTCGGGCATGGATTCCAGCACATACCTAATCTTGCCAATCTCAAGGCCCTGCAGACACAGGGCTTCGTCTCCAAGAAGCAATCTTCGGCGTCTCCGCAGCCAAATTCTTGCATTCGGGGTTACGCAAGGGACTCGCCCCACGGTGGGCCGAATCCGGTTCAGGCTCTGCGACCTCAGTCGGCACGGCGCTCTGACTGAATCACTGTCCGTATACACAGTGACCGGTGACCACTTGGTTAACAACGTTAGAATTGAACGGCAACGAGCAATCGTGTCAAGTTGAATGGGACAAACTTGCTATCCAGCGGCACGTCCACGGCCTCCTCCGGGCCGTCTGTGATGAACAAGGGGTACATCACATCAAGAAGAACAATCACTTCTTGTTGACGTCTGGTCAATGCTTTGAAAAAGACGCTGTCGTTGTAGTTGTCAATCATGCGCTGAAGCTGCTCGGTCGACACCTGCATCAACACCGCGAACGAAGAGATCCTGCTGTGGCTTACAGCCGGCCCACAGAAGTGGCAACGCCCCTGCTTATATCTAGCAATCTTCTCATAGCTTTGCCAGAATTTTCGCGCAGCCCTTCCCTTATACAACCTATACAGTACACATACATTCGTCTTTATGGTCTGTTGATGGCCAGTGACGGTTTGCGAGCCGCCTGTGCATGCTCTAGATACAGTCCTGCATCTTTCTTTCCTGTGTTGATTTTCAAACATCACTGACAGTCACGGTCATAAGCAAGCTCCATGGCCTGGTGCTGCTCGCAGATGGACAGATGGATCTTCTTGTACTTGAGATCATGTCCCTGGGCATCCACTTCCCGGCTCGAAGCTGCATGCATAACCTCTTCTGACGAAAGCTTGGAGTACACCTGGGTTCTCTTCACGTCCTGCTCCGAGAGCAGGAAGTTTTCCAAGGTTCTCCCCGAGACCACTCCTGCAGCCAGTCTGCTCCAGCAATTCTTCAAGGTCTCGAGATGACTGCTCGCCGCCTCGCGGCCAAGTTTCATTTCATCCAGCCCCTGAAAATGAATGCGAGGGCGACTGCTTGGGAGATGATGAGCCTTGGGATCTACCACAATCCAGATGACAGCATAGCCTATGTTCTTGAACGACTTCAAGCACTCACTCAGGTTGGAGTCTTCCATGCCATCTGGAATCTCGGAGGACTGCACAGGATCCTTCAATCCGACAACCTGTCAACGCCAATGCCATTCACGGAATGGAACGATCAATCTTGAATTTGAATGACTCGGAATGACACGCGACACGTCAAATTCAAATGTCTGTGAAAGAGTGAGCAACTGAAACTCCTTCAGCTTGCAAGCACACTCTCACCGACTCTCGCACACATGTTGCTGGCCCAGGAACCATCTCACCGTACCAGTGAAGAGGACGAGCTGCTCGTAGATATCGAACGAAACCATCAAATGTTTCGCTTGTTTTTCCGGCATGGTCATAAATGCACGTCTTGGACCGCTTCGGGTTCCTGCGTGACCTGAGACTCATATGGTCATATAGGGCACAATGGGCACCACTGCACCGGCATTTCATGACACGCACCTGTGTTTCGATTCATACCATACCGTATGGACCATACCTCACAAGAATGCTAAGGCACAGGCACTGTGTGACAAACCCAACCGCAGCACGCAGTGGTAGACTCTGGTCTCTTCATGTAGCTGCTGCTCCAAGCATCCACAACGATGGAATCAGCCGTGTCTTCCAACTGCTTGACAAAGCATTCGGGCTTCACCGTCGCCTTAATGAACCTCTCGGCCACGGCGTCGCAGTCGCAGCTCATAACATGCCGCACAACGTCGCCCGGGAGCTTCTTCGGCACCGGCTCGCTGTCAACAGTGGGCAAGACCCTCTGCGACAAGCAAGCCAAAGCTTCTTGGAAGATCACCTGCCAGCAAAGTGTAGCAGCAGGCAATGTGGCCGCATAACTTATTATGCCTAGGCCCCGAAAGCAAGCTTCCGAGCTTCCTTCCTTAAGTTAATCCAATGCCAATACCAGGAGCCTGCAGGGTAGGAACAATGCCATCCGTTCCAGAGCACACGCTGGCCAACTTGAGCCGGCGCCCTTGGATCGCCTCTCCTACCAGGATCTTGATCCTGGATTGCTCTGCTGGGCTTAAGGACAGCAGCACTTCTTCCACAAAGCGGGCCAGCTCTGACTTCGGCACAGCAGCCGCAGGAGATGGAGTTGGTGTGCTTTCAGCATTGACCAGCTCTGTGTCCTCCCAGATCTCCAAAGCAGCGAAGTCCTTTCCAATTTTTGAGGCATGAGGCTACACATGTCCAGGCATGTCCAAATGAAGCTTCTTGCTCCATCATTGCCCATGATTGATTTTCAAAGTCACTGCTTGCAAGTTGCGAAGCCGACGCAGCTTCCTAAGACAATCTAGGGCCCCTCCCTAAAATGGCATGGCTTAGGCTTCGGTGCAGCCCTGTTATCAAGCTGCTATCACTGATATGTAAACCACCCTTAGCCCAGGAAGTCCTGGGCACCTTGCCGACGCAAAGGAGTGGCAGGGATGCCAAGACCCGTTCTCCAAAACGGATCATCTATGTGTGGCTGTGCATCAGGGCACTCCATTTGCGCAACCACAAGAGCAACTGCTGCGAGAGCCCGCGCACTTGCGATATGTCTGCAATGAACTGCCTTCCTAGCTGCAATTTGCTGATCAAGAGTACGTTCTCATGCGATCACCAGCACTCTTGCTCTCAGCGCCGGTGCACATTTTTGGGGGGCTTCGGCTGTGTCACGCAAGGCACACGGCACACATGGCACACGCGGCTAGAAAATATGCACGATGCATTTTACAAGCGTGGTCAGCCTAAAGGTTAGGGGCCTATAGGCCTATAGGCTTTAGCCTCTATAGTCTACAGGGCTCAGAACCAGGCTACCGGCAAAGACCCATCGCCGGTCGGAATCACACGCTGCAGCTGCCGGAGACGCCTGCAAACGGGTGAGGTACCATTGGGCCGATTCGGGTCCGATTTTGCCTGCTCTTTGATGACATGCCACGGTTCTGGGGGTTTCGGCTTCGGTTTCGGCTTGAGGACCATCTGCAGAATGTAATAATGCATATATCATATCATTTACTGCTGCTGCTGCACATCATGTGATAGACGGTCCTGTTTGAGGATTTAGGGTGTAGGATTTAATGATTTAAGATTGATTTAAATGATTTAGGCGATTCAGTCATCATATAGGGTTTAGGCGGTTTAGGATTAGTAATACGGCACACAAGACTCGATGAGATATGCCGCCTTGAGTGTCTTGGAGCCCAGTCCTGTCACCGATACAGATACTCAGATATCGTCACAGTAAGATCTCTAGGCTACGCTGCCGCAGCTAAATTGCCAGGGCTTGTCAGGATTGAGTGTCTGCAACCATCATATAAGTATAAGGACCGTAACTCTAGACTTTAGACTATCTGACTGTCAGATGACGGTTGATCAGGCTGAGGTGTTTGACCTTCCCGTGACTTGCTTCACACTGAAGAACGATAACAGCTGTGTTCCATATGTAACGCATGCATACGCATACTGTGATTTGAACTATTATCTCTATACTGTCTTGTGCGCTGAGTTTACAGACTGCACGGCATGGAGCGGCACGGAATGCTACGATCATAAACAAATAGAGTTTCCAAAGCCACACCCTCCGCCTCACCTGACCCGGCACCCGCCCTGTTGCTGCGCCCCAAACCAAAACAAGGAAACACTTTGACTCTGCTGTTGCGCCTGGATCGATTTTCCTGATGTCTTTAGATCTAAATGCCGAACTGAAACCTCGTTGCGCAGCTGGCTTCAGAGAAATACCTCTGCAAGGCTAGCTCCTTAGCAAAAGGCTTTCCCTACAAGTCCTGATCTTTAGAAATCTCAGAATCTGAAACAAGCTCCTTGCAAGTGTGCCCGGGGGGGGGGGGCAGGGCAAAGACCGTAATTCGTAGGGCTTAGGAAGTTTTCGAGGCAAGCGGCCTGGAAAAGACCCTCAGAGAGGGTGGCCTGGGGAAGGGCTTTGGAGGGCTTTGGAGGGCCTGGAGGGCCTGGAGGGCCTGTGATCATTTTAGAATAGAAACCCTGGGCCTCGAATCTTTTCGTAATTTACTACTTTAAAGCCTTTCACACTTCAGTTTGGGCGTTTTGTGCTTTCTGTTGTGCTCGTTTGTGCTCGTATTTGTGCTACTATTCGGTTTGTCTTGTGCTTTCTTGTGCTGATTCTTGTGCTACTTTTCTGTTTGTGTTGTGCTTTTTTTTTGTGCTGTTTGAGTTTGGTAGTTTTGTGCTTTCTGTTGTGCTTTTTTGTGCTTGGATTTGTGCTACTTGTCGGTTTGTGTTGTGTTTTTTTGTGATAAGTTTTGTGCTACTGTTCTGTTTGCGTTGTGCTTTTTTTTGTGCTGCTTGAGTTTGGGAGTTTTGTGCTTTTTCTTGTGCTCCTTTGTGGTCGGATTTGTGCTACTTTTCTCAAAACCTTGTGCTATGTTTTTGTGCTACTTGAGTTTGGGAGATTGGTGCTGTTTCTTGTGCTCCTTTGTGGTCGGATTTGTGCTACTTGTCTGTTTTGTGTTGTGCTTTTTTGGTGTGCTCGAGTGCGGGAAATTACACAAGGAAAAGCACAAAGAAAGCACAAGAAAAAGCACAACTGAAATCCTTCTCCTGCAGTTGTCAATCCAAATTGAAATCCTTTCCGGAAATCTCTCGGCAGCAGCAGCCCGAGCTCCGTCTGCCCCTGGAGCAGAATAGACCTCAGCAGTCAGAATTCAGACTCAGACTCATAAGCCACATCTCCCATCGCCCAAACCTATGCGACCTTAGAAGAACTATCTCTCAATCTCTCGACAATCCTTCTGCAGTAGTGGCTAAGGCTTCGACCTAGCTCCTGGCCGCAATCCAGCCCAACAGACCTCAGAAGTCACAAATCATACCATACTATTCATTCACAGAAACAATACAATTTCATTAACCCATGTCAGCTCAGATCGCCCAAAAATCAACGACATTCAAGCAGAACAGGTGTTCCGGAAATCGCTCGGCAGAAGCAGACCAAATTTCGACCGCGCTCTGGTCGTGTGCTCCTGGCCACAATATGCCAAAGTTCGCCCGAAGACATCTTGCAAAAAATCAAACTCATCAGCCAGCTGCCGGATCTCCCAAATGCATGCCGACCTTCAGATCGAAACATTTGATCTTAATATCTAACATATCATTTATATATCATCACATACCTGCCTGCCAAAAATAAGAAGCCTAACTTGGTTCTGTCATGATGACACACTGACAGTCACTGACACATCAATAGCACTGCCATTTGCCGAGCCGCGGTTGGTGTTCGGGCAAGACATGCCGATCAGAAGATCGCAACCAACGGACAAAACTAAGATTGGCACGTTACCACTATTGTTACATCTGGTCTGCCACATGTTCCTGGCGTTGCATCCCGTCTTGGTACTTTGGGTTGCAATGCAATGTTTAGAACCTGTGAAAACAATCCTGTCTAGCTGTGATACAATCATAAACCTCTGGCTATCTGCGCTTGGCGTGATCAACGGAAATTGACCAATTGTCTGTTAGATAGCAAATGCGGAGTTCATAAATACCATGCTAGGTCGCCAACCACATCCAACGTCCGCAGTGTCAACTTACTCGAGTTCTTCCTGCCTTTCTTGCAAGATTGCGCACTTCCAAGCTTACGACTGTCTGTCAAAGTAACATATCTTCCCACCGGCAACATAAAAAATAACGTCTTTTAACTGTATCTTGCCTGTATCCTGTATCTGACCTGCTTAGAAAACAACCCGCGCCGCTCCTGCCGTGTATGACTTTATGTTACAGACTGTATTCTGGGAATCATGTTAATCAGTTTATCACAGTTTATCAATAATATTACAAATATGCATGTAACTTATGTATACTCTGAATTCTGACTACTTGTAAGTAAGCACGCGCAGCATATAGTATCATATACTCATATGAGTCATATCATATAGATACCGTGTGAACTGAGAATATGAGCATATTTTTCTCGCTGAAGTTCTACATGATAATATGGGTTGTCTCTGAAACCTCTCAGTTTTGCATTTGTGTTCCCATGCCCGCTTCCCAGTGGATCGTTACCAAACGCATACCAAGTCTGCCATTTTCTGTGCGATGCAGCTTCTGCTTCCTCTGACCCAATGATCTAGGATGGCTGCTCGGGACTGCTCGCACTTTCTCGCAACTGGGAACTGCTGCCCCTTGGCCATCCTGGCATTTAATAGTCCGCCATATTCCGCCGTCTACACAATACTTGACGTCTTTTAGACAACCGCTAGCTACGTCACAAAAAAAAACGTAGTCCACAGATGAGCTTCTGGATACGACCCAGGCAACAATGCTAACAGCGACGTCCTTAAGAAACACTCTACCAACTGGCTTGTGATAAATGCGATAAATGTGTAAATACTCGTCACGCCGGCGGGCAGTCCCCAGCGCAGCCTCCAACTAGGTTGCACAGACTCACTCCCTGGATCACGGATGACCCAGCTATTGGATTTTGCATGGTCAAGGAAAACGGCACGCTTCTGAAACCGCTGTCATCTCCTCATCACCTTCTGAATCACCTTCTCACCTCGGCTGCGAAGCTCGTCGTTGAACAAATCAAGGCGAAAGCGCCCAGCTCCCAACCGACATGCTTCATCTCTAATCCTATGCAGCCTATAGCCTGAGCCTATGGCCTGTGCAGACACAGCAAAACCCATGCCGTAAGTTTGCGCCAGACGGCGGTCACGAGGCATGGGAGCTGCTCGCGGCAGTGGATTTTCTCAAGTAGAACGCATGCAGGGCGTTCACCGCACCTGTGGGCCAAACCGTTCTGTTTGCAGGGTCAAACTGAAGGTGAACCGAGCTTAACCCTCCGTAAACCGTAAACCGTTAAAATCGCAAAACCTCGACCATACGGACCACACAGGCCACACAGGTGTTAAGTGTCGATAGTCGTCGATAGTCGATAGTCAATATAATATGTTAATATGTTCAAACTGTTCAAATTACAAATTATTATACTGGTACCGAAGCAGAACGATGTAGAATTGTAGAGTAGAATAGTAGAATGTGACTGTCACTCTGATTGCTCGCCCGCCTTCATGCGTGCCATGAAACTTCAGGTTCATGGTCGACCCAGCCACATACTTGTTCTTGTAGTGCAAGACCCAGGACGACTTGCCGCGATTGAAGTACATTTTGTAGCCGTCCTTCAAAGGAAGCCTGATCACTGATATCATTGATATTATAATTATAATATTATAATTATGAATTATGATTCATATGATTCATATGATAGACCATGTTTGACGACTGCACGATTTCTTGGTCTCAGAGAAAAAGGAATGGAAAACGAGATATGGTCCGGTCCGTACGACAAGATCAGACGGTACAGCATGCACGTATGTTTTGAGTACCAGTATGAGTACACAACAAAATATATGTAATAAGTAATAAGTATATTACACATAGATCTCAGATAGATATGTAACGTACGAATAAACGAATATTTTTTAGGTATGAAATAATATGTTTGCTAATCTGCTAGACACTAACATTTCTAACTTTATCATATCATCACATCATCATTGTACAAATGATACCAATTATACCATCGGACCATCGGTATTGAACCGTGCTTCCAACTCAACTGAGAGTTCTGCTAGTGTCCTGGCCCTGGCGTCATACACACTGTTACGGACATATCATATCCCTCATGTTCATAAAGTGCATAGATGCTGCGTAGACGTAGGCTGTGGACTTGACATAGACATAGACATTGTTGCGGGTGAGATGTAAGATTCTGTAGGATACCGAAAATTGTAGAAGCCGCGCCAGATAGCTTGCAAGGAGAAAACAGAAAGACCTTTTACTCTTGCCCTTACCGTTACAGTTAGAGTTAACCAGAAGTAACCGATGCCGATAGCCAGCACATGCCACCACGGAGCTTGTCCCCGAGAATGAGGGCAAGTCTCTCAAAGTCAGTTGCCGGCTCGTGGGCATTGTGGCCGACACCGACTCCCTCATTAACTGCAGCAGCTGGCTCGTCGCGGGGGGCGGGCGCGCCCTCATGGTCAGACTCGGACGCCTCTGCATCTGAGCAGCGCTCCTCTGCATCCGAAAAGCGGTGAATGTCATGATCGGCCTCGTCGTAAATATCGTCTTGGTCCCCATCCGGTCCATCCAGCCCACGCCGATCTCTGACTCTGACCGCGTTCCCAGCAGGCGGAGCTTTGTGCATGTCGATGAAAGTCGGCTTCAGGAGCGGAGAGCAGAAAATGTCCTCGGGCTCCTCCGCCTCCGCGGGCGCTTGCTGCGGCACGGACTTCTCATTGGCTGCCCTAGCCTGGATTTCCTTGTCTATTCCTGACACGACAAATCGATGGAGGGCCCTTTGTTCGTACGACATGGAATGGAACTTCCACTGTGAGGGCTTTGCCATACCGAGCAGATGAAGAGCGAACTCATACTGCGTCCAAACCTGGCAGGCTTCCTGGTCCTCGGCAGTCAATGGCAATTTCTCCAATGCGAGGTCGTGTGGTAGCTTGCATCGGCTCCAAGGAAATGCGAGCTGATTCTCCCGAGTAGGTGACTGGTTGGGAACTTTCAGCCACGCAAAAAACATCCGAAGCGGCTTTTTCGTGCCTGGACCAGGATGAGCTTGATTCCAAGAGCCCTACAGGCCTACAGGCTACAGGCTGTAGGCCAAATAAACCTAGAGACAAAAGACTTATGAGTCTTATGAGCCTATAGTGGGATCTTCGTCGCTAGGCTGGACTCTATGCCCATGGCCACGCCGTCCACGCCCCTATATAGTAGGCGTATTGCCAAAAGTCCTATAGTATCATATCAGTGTAGAGGTCTACAGTCTATAATGAGCATAGCCTATAGGCCATAGGCTAAGGGTCGGTATAAGGTATAACGGTTTAGCCTCTGGGATACGGGATACAGGCTGCTATATATCACGGGGGCTTGGCACACAGTGCTTACGCCAATACCACAAAAATGAAAACCAAGCAACCACAGAACGTGATCTAAGTTGGAGTTAACAACCGACCGACCCCTCCCTGGCCTACAACAGCTCTCGCGAACACGAAGAACTTGGCTTTTCGAGGGATGGTAGCGTCGCACCGGAGTAAGCAAGCTTCCGCGGGCAAAGCTTTCACCAATTCGAAGACGTCAGCCATCTTTGCTGCGTCTCGGGTAACACACAAGCCAGGGTGTTTCATCGGGCACGCAGCGCCTTCGCAGCGCACGGACATAATCGGCATAGAGGTCCCGTCAACGATCTCATCAGTGAGCTCTGAAGCAAGAGAAGCCTGACAGAAAAGTCGAGCAGCATCCATGCTGTGATACTTCTGACCCGAGCGAACTCGGTCTGCATACTCTTTGCAATCAGCATCATCCATCTCAGCAAGTTTCGCCAAGCCAGAGTCGCGCAAGCGGAAAGGGTTCAAAAGAGTATCCATGAACTCCTGCCGAAGAGGGAAAGCCTGATCGCCCACATGCCAGGTTGTCTGCAGCACAGCCGCGTTTGAATCGGCCTGCCGTCTGTCCCTGTCCACCCTTCTCCTCATCCTCGCTTGTAAAACTTGCCGTGACTTCCAAACAGCTTTCGACTGATCGTCCAGGTGCTTCCACGCGAGCAGCAGGTCCTTCGTGGTTCGTTGGTCTCCCTGCCTCTGCATCTGCGCAGCATAAAAGAACGCCGGAGAGCCAAATTGCTGAGGCCTTTTGTGGACCACTTTCTTCACTCGCGCAACTTTTGCCGCAGCCTTGACCGCTGCCGGTGCAGTGTTCAATTGCCGCCCGCCACGCCTGTGGAAGGCTCGCGCCAATCGTTGCACCACAAAGTTGGAAGCTTGGCTGTGGAATCTGCGCGCGTGGCCGGCATCTCCGGCAGCGATCTTTCTCTGCAACGCGTGCGTAGTCTCCTCCTGGAGGGAAGAGCCTCTAAAGCTTCGAAGAAAACTTGCCACATGCTTGGAGAAGCATTTCTCTCTGTCCTCCCGGGCGCAGGCTTGCACTTCATCGCGAACTTGGCGTGCCCAGTTCCAATCTAAACAGCAGGATTTGCTGGAAAGCAGTTTCTCGCAGTGGCGCGAAAGTGCGCTAGCCATTTCCTCATCTTCTTGCTCGTCCGGACTAATTCGAAAGGAGCCGTTCTCCATGTACTTTTCCAACTCCACACAGGACAGAGGAGGCTGAGCAAGCCTGGCCAACAGTCGCCACTTCAGGGCGGCAACGTTGCGGAGGATATTCTCCGTCAACTCTTTGCACATATCCGATTGCGACTCCTCACTTGGCCAGAAAGCCTTGGCCACTTCGAACGTACTGTCTTCACCCATCAAACACGACCAGAGACGAGTCACAGCTGATCTGGCAGCAGCTGCCACGTCTGCAAATTTCACAGGCTGACGTGGTTCAGCATCAACCTCCTCGTTGTTGGCGGCCTTGAAGCGATACCGTGCGCGAGCCTTCTTGCCAGCCTTCTGGCTCGGATTGTACTCCATGCCGCCCGTCTTGGTCTCGCCATTACCAGTGAGAAACAACAATCCTGACTGATTGCTGCAGCAGGCTCGCCTTTCAGCATCTAGCCTTTAGCCTTTAGCCGCCGTCACCTTCGCCTTTATAGCCACTTATCCACAACCCTCGCTTTATCTTAAGTAAGATCCCAAACACATGTCAGGAACAACAGGTCAACGGGGAAACGGTGTTTTCAGTGTCGAGAGTCGTGTGACTGATGAGCAGACAGTGGCTAATGTCAATGTGCACAGAAGATTGAATTTGGTCTTCGCACCCTTGAGGAAATCACGAGACTTCTTCTTTCGTCCATTATTCAGTACTCGGAAATATTCCTGGTCATTCAAATCCTGGAGTCCAGCGTCCGGGCGCGCGCCTGCGGCCTCGGCCTGGATCAGACTCCGGAGCGCTAGCCCTGGCCCTAGCAACTACGTGGTGCCATAAGCCAGAGAGGAAAGTAAGCATATGAGAGAAAATTTGTCATAATTAGCATACTCGGGAATAAACTGTCCTTGGAGTCCTTACATAACACTGTAACACTTGAACGTAGACTTGGGACCTGAGCTTCCAAGACGTTTGCCTTTTCGAAGCAGGAAGCAGCAGCGTTGTGCAGCACTAGGAATCGCGCCCAGGAACACAAGCATGGCATCACCAGGTGCCACCGCGATGGCTGAAACAGTTCGGCAGGTCCCAAGAAGAAGACATTCTGTAGCAGAGCCCAAGCCTGGGAAAAACGTGTAACTTAACCGTTTAATCGTCAACGGCAGTAACCAGTAGCTTCGAATTCCCGTTTCATGATCGTCTATTTATAAGCCATAGACGGTAGAGCCGAGCCGGTAGAGCGGTAGAGCGGTAGAGCCGTAGAGCCGTAGAGCACACAGAGTACACAAACTTGCAGCTTATGGAACTTATGGCCTTATCGCCTATGGCCATGGGCCATCGCCGAAGCGGCTGTGTCATTCTGCAATCTGACGCGTAACCTTAAGGGCATTGAATTATCTTCGGAATCGTAGATCGCCACCCGAAGTTGGAAACTCCCTGTCGCTGGCACTCTCAGAACCAAAAAACCTGAGCAGCAAACTATTCCTGAATATTGCAAGTATTGCCGCCATATTAATGTTGCCTACTACCTATTGCCCTCCCAAACAAGACCTCGCAGGCAGACGGAGGCACGCAGACGCTTAGCAGCTAAGCCCTGCCAACGACAAAGACACTAACACGCGAAAGAAGCCCTACCGTTGCCTTGTTGAGCCCATCCTGCCGGTTCTTGCACCGGTGCTTGCAGCAGCCTACCACGCAGTAGTGCTGCCAGTGTTCAGAATCCAACAAATCCCCATTGAAAAATTCCAACAGCTCACTCAACCTCTTCTCCTCCTCTGAGCTGGGCGGGCCCCATGAGCCGGACAAAATTTGAAGAAGAGAAGATCTGAACTGCGGCTGGTTCGTGGGCAGATCAGGTGGGTTGCCACGCTCCCAGCAGAAGCAACGAATCAGCTCTGCGCGCAGAGCCTTCAAGGTTTTGTCGCGTAGCACAGAATGCTGACTCAGGCGACTGATGGAATACAGGGCACTGGAAAGGTCCTGGCCAGGGTCACCCTGCCGCTGCAGATTCAAGTCTATAATCCTTGACATTTGATGCAATAAGCACGGTGTAAATGTGGCCGTGAGAGTCACGCCCACATCCTTGGCCTTGTCACGCAAAAATTTGAGCCAGTGGCGCAGAAATTTGAGGTTCGCGGCCGCCGAGTCGGCTACCACTGCAAAATGAATGTTGCTGAACGATTTGGAGATGGTCTGTAAAAACACTTCCCAACCAGTGCCGAGTAAGTGAAGTTCGAAGAGCCGAGATAGTCCTGCAGCAATCTGCGGGCTTGAGGTGTTGGCAAGTCGAATAGGCGGCAGAATAACTTCGTGGGCCTCAAATTTCTTCCCCGGAATTGCCCAACCAACCACACTGCAACACACCATGTTGTGCACGACCTCGTGTCGCCCAGCAGCTCTGTCTGCCCGTTGCCTGAATCCCAAACTACCACGCATCGGCCTGGCCGGGAGAGGGGTGGACAGGAACTTTGATTGCGCCCGACTCGAATTACTTCAAATCAAAGCTTTGGACCGTTTGCAACATCACAGAATGAGATAATCACCCGCAGACGCAGATGTAGAAGTATGAATTATTATACCATATGCTCGGAGACTCGGAGACCTACTTTGCTTCGCTCGAACTAGGCAGGCGCCTACTGAAAGATCGCTCACCCTATCCTTCGCCTCCGTACGTGTATGGACTTTTAGCAACCCAGCTGCACACAAAAGGCCTTGTTTCTGCATTTGCATTGCCGTCCTCCTGGCCCCCGCCATCATCGCCTTCGTCAGCAACTGGTGCAGCCTCTTGAAGTCTCTGTTTGCGGTGGAGACGCTGTTGTGTTTCATCGAACCCCAGGGACACGGAGAGTCCGTTGTCTCCAGGGTCTCCTACGCACTTCTCCAGCAGCTGCTCGGCAAACGACCTTGCTCAACGACGAAACATGTATCATTTATCATTTATCACTTAAAGCACAGACAGGGAAGGAGCAACCACACAAGACTTTCTGTCCCCGGGCCACAGGTCCTCCTAGCTGGGTGTCAACAAGAGCAACGGTAATAAAACTGTTGACCTCCCGTTTAATTTGCAATTTGAAACACTGTGACCCCAACATAACTGCACGCTGCCTGTCTCTGGAAATAGGTTTGCGGTCTGCGCCGTATCCAAACTGAGTCAAACTCATTTCGCTTCAGCATTTTTAAAGCCCGGGCCCCGGCCTGCGTTGGGCGGCCAGGTAGGCACTTGCCACAAACAGCGTTGATCTGAATGAGCTCTGCGACATGTCTGTGTGATGCACAAAGGATGCTGCTGCCTGCTGGAGCTTGCTGAATGCTAAGAACAGATGCGAAGTTGATTTCATCTTCTGACCTGATCAGGATGGAGCACAGACGGCGTGAATTCGAATACGTTAGGTTACACGCATGCTCCAACTCCAACACGTGTCACGCCAGTCATATTTAACTACATTAGATAGGCGGCCTGACTGGGCGAGATGGTCCACCGCATCTGCGACAGCTCCCGCTTGCAATCCAACCGCAAGCTTGTTATTTCTCTGTCGAATGAAGTTGGCATTGGTCCGTCCAAGAACATCTCGCTCTGGCGCCGCCATGCACTGCAGACTATGACTATGCTATGCTCAATGACTGGCTATATAGAGCAGCTAGGATGCAAATTTCACTGCCTCACCGACAGCTGCTCAGACAGCTTGGGTCACAGGCACAGCGTAACCCAAGGGCCAGGTCTTTGGGTTGTAGGCCGGGGCCTCTCCTAGCCAATACGGCACTGGGCCTACACAGCCTATCAGCCTACGCAGCCTATATGCCTAATTATGCCGCCTGAGCCTACGCCTATACAGCTACACGCCGCGATCCAAAATTCTTGCGCTGTCCACTATGACACATGACACATGAGACATCTAAGACATCTGATTCAGCTGACGGTCAATGTGGGCACAGCATGGCAGCGTTGTGCGCAAGCAGCGCTCAGACTCTCCGTCATTCAACGCATGAGTATCATCGGCAGCAGCAAATAACAAAGTCTGAGACCTCCTGACCTTTTCACAGATCCATGGCCTCCAACAGCCCAACTCGGCCTCGCGACGGTACCTGAGTGGTAACGGTGGGGCCCGGCTCCGGTATGGTAATACTGTGGCCCGTGTGGCTAGTAGCCGCGAGCACTACGTGTACCAAAACTTCGGGAAGCTACCAAGAATGTCAAGAATCGTCTCTCTCGCAGAACACCAAGTGAACATGAAATCAAGTAACTCAAAGCCACTTACAGGTGCCGCTAGCCGCAAGTGGTCGACGGGCCAGCACACCCAACCGGCTTGCAGATAGTGCATGATACTAGTGTTGGTGTGGTACTGGCACGGCATTGGACATATCTGATATATCTCATATCTGACCATATCTATCTGTACGACTCCGCAGCCTACCGCTACTACTAAAGGATAAGATGTGACCAATGGGCAACTGACCCAGGGACCAGGCCACACAGAGCTGGAACCATGCCCTGACCTCAGCAGCGACAGCAATGGCAGCACGAAGATTGTTCAGACTCAGACGTGTGGCGTGCAGCATGAAGCATGAAAGCAGCGCAAGCACGAGCTCCATATTTTGACAGCGATCGCCGCGATCGCACTCGTGCGCACTGGCTGGGATGTCGACGTTACGTCTCGTTCTTCCTGCAGTACAACAGGTCAGTTAGCCAGATGTCAGATAGCACGAATATACACATGCCGCAAACAGACACACTGACACACTACTAGCTGGTGAAGTCGGCCTCTTCGCAGGCGTCAAGACTGGTATCTCCTCCTCGCTTTCCACCTCTTCTGTCGGCTCCTCAGACTACAGACCACAGCACACACAGGGCAGACAGTAGACACATGGCAAACGGCAAACCGGCAAACCCCGATTGTCCCGCCGAGACACGAATGGGATCGGCACGGGAATTTCCTCCTCATCCTCACCACGCGGCCCTTTAGCCGCGGAGGCTGCCTGAGTTCGGAAAATAGACACTATAGGCATAGGCTAGGGCACAAGCACATGGGCGCACGTCCCATTTGAAGAATCTCTGTCCTGCCTTCCCGGGAGGCCCTTCGGCAGTGCTCGGCGCCAAATGTCCCGGCCCTGGCACTGCCTGGGATCAGAGATCGAAATTGTAAGCACAGTGGCCAATTGGCCATAATATGTGACCGAGGCTTCCACCTCGGCACCGCTTCCAGCTGGCTCAGCCGACTCTGCCAACTTGCCAGCCTCCGATTTGACTTAACGGGCAATTTGGCAATCAATCAACGCAACACAGAATCTGACCTTCTGCTTCTTCAGCTCAGCAAGTTCACGTCGGTCACGTGCAGCAGCCTGCGTTCGGAGAGAGGCATTTTGCCGCAGCTTGCGGTGCTCTATAGGATTC